TTATTTGAGTGACTATTGAGAATGTTGCCTTTTCTTTAATGGAAGGGGATGAATACATTTGAGGACGACTGTATAAATGATAATTAATTAACCATATATTAATAATTATTATTAATTCATAAATTGATTGATAAAACGGATTAATTTCTGTAAATAAAATATATGGCGTACATTTTATTTACCTCATACAGGTGATCTATCACATAAAGTCACAGTTTTTCAGCTGCAGGTACAGCACCTGTGGAAAGTATTCATTCCTCCTGGAAATGTACTTTTTTTTGACAAGAATGGAAACCGATTTTTTTTTTTTTTTAACAAGCTCATGTCAAATATGTAAAAACACACAATATATCATAATCAGTCATTTAATGCATTATTTATAATTGAACCTGTGTCGTAAACAGCAGTGTGTTGTTACCATGGAGACGGTCACTTTGCGGCATTCGACGCAGCTCAGAGGAGGAAGTCGGACCTGACGTCAACAAACCAATGGAGTTCCCTTAGCTGAAGAAACAGGAGTAAAATAAAGCGGGGAAAAGGTCTGTTGTGTAAAGTTTTGGACATTTAGACATTAAAGTCATTAAAGGAGAGAAGCTGTAGTTATCTTGGGATCACTGTTCGGCTGCTGTTTAGCAGAAAAGCCGAAGAGGCGTTTGACGAACTTTATCCGAGAAACAGAAAGGACACTTCTGGCGGCTGTCTTTCATTTTCCCAAGTCGAAATGAGTAACTTTCGATTTTCGAGAGAGAAATGTGCTTATAACTTAATATTTTACTCCCGTTTTGACAAGTCAGTGTGAATTAGCTGCTAGCAGTTCATGCTATCATGGTCCAAACTTCACACTGAAGACATGTGACGTGATCCAGAGCACTTTGGCATCCGAACCGAGCTCTGCATTTTTAACTTGGACGAAACACTCAGTTCCTGTCATTTATTTTCTATTTTATTTTATGATTTTTATCTCTTACATGTTTTTATTTCAATAATTCTGCAAACCTGTGTGCTTTATCCAACTTGTCTGTGCTGTTTATGATTCATTTAATCTATTAATTTAATTGTGATTACACTCTTATTAGTATTATTATTGTTTTATCTTTGCCTGTAAAACACTTGATTGACATGGCATGCACAATAAGAGCTAAATAAGTTGCTTTAAATTGCTTACTCATATATCAGTTTTAATACCAGTTAGATTTTCACATACAAAGAATTTTACAGGAAACACTGACAAGTAGAAAATCTCCAACGAGGAGAAAGAATAAAAAAAAAAAAAAAAAACAAGTGTTGCAAATCAAATAATCACTAGTTAAGACTGTGCAACTACTTTGCCTGGACATGAGCGCATTATAACGCTGTTCTGTAATTTATTCAAACTGAGTTCATGTCAGCAATTAGTTCAGTCACCGGAGGTCAGTGTAAGAGTGTTACAGTCTTGTTGCCCCAAACAGGTGTCTTCACTTTGACTGGACTGACTGTGAAGAAACCTACAGGTGTAAATACTAACACTAGTCTGTACCAGTTAGAAGTCGCTTTAAGGTGGGACAGTAGACGCACACTGATTTTGGAAAACTTGGTAGATATTTAAAATTGAACTATGACAGTATTTTTATGTAATTCTGTATTTTATTTCACGATGATCATGCCACATGTAGACGTGGACTACATACGAGACTGTACCCTCCTCTTAAGCCCCGCCCCACCAGGAAGGACAAACTGCTTTCACTTTTAGCAATGTGTGCAAGGAAGACAGACAACAAGCAGAACTGAGGGCTTTACTCACTTTTTCGTTTTCAGGGGAGGAATTAAATCACCTTTTCATAGACATACACGTACAATGTCGTGCTAAGGCTCATGATTTATTTGAAAAAAACCTAGAGGGTGTTTACAACGGCAGCAGCTGAGCGCTGTTATAACTCTGCTGTTAACTCCTTCCTCTCTGCTCTTTTCATTGTCACTCTTTGAAGAAGCGGGATCAAAGATGGAAGATGAAGAGGAAACCTGGTTGGAGGAAATGCTGATGTGCTCAGTGTGCCAGGACATCTTAAAGGATCCTCGGCTGCTGCCCTGTGGACACAGCCTGTGTATGGACTGTTTGGAGAACCTGAAGAATCAAGCCACAGAAATGCAATTCTTCTGCCCGGACTGTCGGACACATTTTGAAGAGAGGGACGGACATCGGCTACAGAAGAGCTACGCGTTGTCCAACATCGCAGATAACTTCAGAGTGAACAAGACCAGGAGGGTAGCTGAAATAAGCAGTTGTCAAATCTTTAATCTTGCCTCTTATAAGATGTAGAGAGTAAATGATCTTCCCTCACATGTCAATATCTGATTTTCTCTGCAGGAAAAGCAGACAAAATGTGTGTACTGTGACTGCTGCCAGAGCAAAGAAACGCCGGCCATTAAAACGTGTCTGAAGTGTGAGGTGTCACTGTGCAAAGAGCACATCAGGGACCACCTGGAGCTGCCGGTGTTCACGGGACACCCCCTGGTCCAGCCTCTGGGTGACCTCCTGGACAGGAAGTGTTCGCAGCACAAGGACGAGGTTCTGAGGTATTACTGCAGCTCGTCCAGACGCTACATCTGCAACATCTGCGCCCTGGAGACCAAGCAGCTCAACGTGGCCACTGAGGCGTCCACTGTCTTACGGAGGCAGCTGACTGTGAGTTGAATAACACCTTTTTTTTGTAGATCTCACACTATTTTACCCAGAAAAACATCGAGCATTATGATATTAATACGAAAACATCAGATTTTACAAAGGACGGCGGCATCAATAATTAAAATATTCGTCGTTACTCTTCATATGACACTGAAGGAAAAATAAAAGCCCAGAAATTGAGGAGTTTATTCTGTGTTTGTGTGCGTTCAACAGGAATACATGGACCAGAACTTCCAAATACTCAGGCAGCAAATCACAGAATCTACAAACAGTCGACGAGATGTGAGTCCTGTTTCCTCACCTTGATATCTGATACTAAAAGGTTTATCACAACGTATTTAATAATGTGTATTTTCCTGAACCCAGAAACAGAAGGTAAAACCCGCCGACTCGTGCCTCAACGGCGTCACAGTGGTCCTGCTCTTTCTTTGGTTCATCGTTCTGTATTATGGTAAGAGAAGCCCTGGTTTGTGTGTTCTGGGTCTTTGTGCGTAAGGTGACACTCACTGATCTTTGTTTCTCACCAGCCTACAACTACTCTCTGGAAAACCAGATGCTAACAGAAGCACTGGAGAAGCAGCAGAACCGCGTGCATCACATTTACTCCACCATTGCAGGTAAGAAGACAGGCGCCAAGTCCTCACTGCTTCCTGCTTACACAAAGACAACTGAAGTAGGGAATGCAGTAACATTTAAATTATTGGTACCACATTTTGGTTTGTCCACCCATTAAAAAATATCAAGTATCAAGTGAGCCGGACTTAAAGCGTTTAGCAAAGTTACCTCTTCATATACAATCGCACAGAAATGGTGCTCGTCTGCCAATAGGAGCAACTTTGGGGTTCAAGTTCAGGGGCTGTGGGTCAAACAACCATCTGTACAGTTAGTGGACCGCCTGCTCTTCCACCTGAGCCTCCTGTGATTTTGGGTCATTTGTTCTGATGTGGCAGATCTTTCTCTTCTCTCTTCATTCTGTTACCCCCTCATCATCTCCCACTTTGTACATCCTCGACTCCTCTCCTGGTGTCTCAGTCACTCCTTCCAGAGATGCGAGGAGAGGAGGTGAGGAAGAGACACGAGGAAAGAGGAGGCAACAGAAATTTAACTAAATGAGATATCCTCTCCTCTAGGCTGTTGTTTTAAAGCAATGACAATTAAATACAACAGGTGGCCCAGTCGCATCATCTGTCCTTTGTTTTGTTACATCCTGCCATTGTATTTTGATCTCTGTCTGAAGCGTGATTGTAATCATTCTTGGCAAGAACTCTTGGCAAGGGTTACATTTTCCGAACGTCAGTCTGTTATGCTACTCCACATGATGGTAGCACATACAGCAGGAATCAGACACAGAGCCAAAATGTAGGCAAACCTGCATAGTCGCTAAATGTTTATTTCACCGAAAAGTCTAAACAGCCTTTTTCTTTCCCCACATAGAACGCTTGGTTGATCATCCAATGAAAAGTTACAAACATCCGGAAGCAGAAGATGAAGGTATGAAGTATTAAAAGCACAAGAAAGTTTCTTAAACCAACATATATGCCGTTAACAGGCACCATAACCCCAGTCATCTTGCATTCAAGCTGTTGCACTTATTGTGAAAATACACGGCGATACGTGACAGAAATGAGTCCATGAGGTCAAATTCTGTTCACAAATGCTGGACTTTTGCTTAACAGTGACAACAAGAGTAATGCAAAAACAGAATGTATCAGTAGAAATAGAAAACCTGTTGAGAACTCACTCAGAATTTCCACCACATGGCTAAACCAGCTTCACATTTGCCTCAAGACTAAGGCTGCAGCAGCGAAACCACTGAACATGCAAAATTAAATGAAGCGCCCTGTAGAAGCCAATAATGTAATAACAGCTGATAACATAATAAATTTGCACTTTTTTGAATGTAATAGGCCAATAGCGTAATAACTGGCCAATTACATAGTGAAAGTCATGAACTGATAACGTAATAAGTTATTAAGTTATTGGCCTGGTAAAAAAAAAATAAATAAATAAATTCTTTGCAAATGTAATAACCAGCCAATAACGGAATAACTTATTACGTTGTCGTCCATTATTACGTGACTGGCTTCTACATGCCCTTTTATTGCTTCGTGTTTAGCCTCAAGTTAGAGTCAGACGTAATCAACGAGTCTTCAGGGTGCAAGTTCAACATAACCAGGCTTTCTTTGTGTTAGCTGGCTTGACAAAACCTAAAACCAGGTTAGCAACTTTCTCCGTGAACCATCCATCCATCCATTATCTATACACCGCTTAATCCTCATTAGGTTTTAAAAAAAAACATTAGACTCCATGTGACCTCCCATATGTGCTTACTACAGCATAATCTTAAACAAAACACTGATTTCTGCAAAATCTGAAGAGTCCTACAGTCATATCAGTCGCTAATTTGTATGGGTCTATGTTATAACTTACGGTGCATCAAAACATTATATGTAAACCCACTAAAAATGCTCTGTCTGTCTGTCAGGAATCCTCATGTTGGACATGGACACCGTCAGTCATTTACTTGGAGTCTCCGCTGACCACAAAACGGCAGAAAGAGTAAAATCCAAACTGGATTATCCCAACAGCAACAACCGGTTTGATGAGGCCCCGCAGGTCCTCTCCACCCAGTGCTTCTCCTCCGGCACTCACGTCTGGGAGGTGGAGGTTGAGGGCCACTGGGACGTCGCCGTGTCCTACAAGAGCATCCAACGAAAGAGCAAAGACAGCAGCACCTTTGGAAACAACGCAGAGTCCTGGAGCCTTACGCACAGCGGCCAAGGTCAGCTGTTTGCCAGCCATAATAATAGAAAAACCGCTCTGTCTGAAAGTTTGCAGAGCAGCCGAATAGCTGTGGTGGTTAATTTTGAGGAAGGCAGCATCACATTCAGTGCTGTGGATTCCACCACCACACAGCTACACGAGTTCAAGACCGAACTGACTCAGCCAGTGTGTCTGGGGTTGGGACTTTATCACGTGGATGCACCCAGCAGGGCCTCTATTGTCAAAGCTTCATGAATAATCGTGCACAGTGTCACATTATCAAGACTGCAATGAAGGAGAAAGTGTCCAAGAATCAAGACCAAAGCCAAAAAAAACACCTCAGGAAGATCATTTGATTTTGTCAAATGGGTGTATGTATGACAACATCAATTGTGTTAGTATTAAGGTAATTTATTACAAAGTGCATATCAGGCTGCTCCGAAAGAATCCAAAATAAGGCTTTTGTTTTAGAAAAGTGAAGCATTCGGAAAAATGTTTGCCTCTTTGGTTATGTAAGCTTTCAAATGTATGCTTTCAAAATCCAATTCACGCTTCCTGTTCCTACGATCCTGCAGAGTCTTGCTACCATTAGCCACCATGACCTACTAGTCATACCATCATACCAGACCCAGTAAGACTGTAGTGGCAATAATAAGTCACAATAAAAAAACTGAATGTACTGAATTGATTCTGGATGTGTTTTAGTCCTTACGGAGTTCCAATTTTTCTTTTTCCAGAGGAAGAATGGACGATACCGTCTCCTTGTCTCAGTAATCTCACATTAAGGGAAATAGCAACAAAAGGAAAAAAAGGCTTGCTTGAGCAATTTGGCTCATTTATTAAGAAAACATAAAGGCTGAGCTTCCTTTAGAACTGAATGTTTTACAAAAAATGAAGGCAATAATCAGCCAGGAAGGCCACTATTGTCAGTACAAAACAAGTTATACAGTGATACAAACTGGTTTTCCTCAAACTAAGGCATTTTCTGCTAAATGAAACAATTGTTGTAGGTTCTTAATACGAGAGACATTAAACACAGAAACCTTTCAGAAACGTTCAAACCTTGATGTACACAACAGGACAATGAACACTGTGCAATAATGTCTGCTGTAAAAAAGCTGAAATGTTATTATCTGTCCTATTTTGTCTTTTACAAACAACTATAACCAAAGAGAATAGAGATCATTGTCTTAAGCATCTTTCATACTTCTCTAGCTGCCTTTAAGTCTCTTGACGTCTGCCTAGAAGTTTCATACAAACTTGACCATTAGCCTACATAAGTATCCACACTGCAGACATTCGTGTTGCAACAAGTCCGACAACAGTAGCGTGGAATGGCTGTCCTAACTCCGCTCCATGTTAGCAGTCTGTACTGTTAATTGTTCTGAAAAATACAACTGTCAAACCTGCAGTTAATGTACATAGCAGTGAGAATTATGACTCTCGTGTATTTGCTGGGAAATGCATTTTCACCCTTTTTGCACTGCATCCATCCTTCAGCACCGTCTCCGGCTGAAAAACTCTGTTCACACGAGTGGCAGCAGCTGTTCTTTACTTCACCGTTCCCAGGTTCTGACTCCTGATGGCGCACCACGCCTTAAAAACATCACTGAAAAACAGAGGACATGCTGTTAAGAAAAGGTTATAAATGAAAACCACACACAGAAACGCAGACGTTAACCTCGACGTACCTGCAGTGAGTGGCCACGCACTCGTTACTGCAGTACTCTTTGTCCCAGTCTTTACTCTCCACTGCTGGGTTGTTGCAGCCTGCCCTCACACACAGACTCCTCAGAGCATCACCGGACCCGTTCATCTCCATCTCATCCTAAAGAACAGGAGAAAGGGTTTAGAAGAGCGTTGTTAAGATGGGAAACCACTGAGAAGAAGTGAGAATGGTGGGGGGGGAGACAGTCAAAGTCAACAAATCCACTGATTGTGTCTTTTGGGAAGCTTTCCGTCGTGGCAGCAGCAGTATCATCTGCACACGTATGCAAAGTGTGTTTTTTCTCTTTTGTCTGAGTGAAACCGAAGTAGTTGTGTCACTTTGCATGAGGTGTTGAATGAACAGCAATTTTCACTTCCCCAGATGCCTCTTTGTCGCTCTATTATAAATGGAATCAATGTATGCCTCCGTCATCCACACAAGCTGCACTCTACATCCATGTAACGAAGCCTTTTAAGCGGGCCGCTGTCGTACCACTAAAAGACAGAATATCTTTCCTGATGAATTACTAAACCTCCGATACTCAACGGCAACAAATATATATACCTATTCAATGTAAAATCCATAAAAGTAACAAAAACCACATGAACCAGCCTTTCACACGGCTGAGCAGAGAGAAACCCATCGTCCGACACACAATTGCACAAAGAAAACTCACAAAATCAAAACACACTGCAGCATATCCAACATCATCCAACACAGACAGCATTCAATCCTAAGTTGTCAAAGTCGACTCATTCATACTTCCATGGTTTTTCTGCCGCTCTTTTTATCTCTTTCTTCTAAATTTATGCAACCTTATAAAGTGCAGATATTCCACTAAAAGCTGCTTCAGACATAGTTCGTCAACTGATGTTCGAGTTGGAACTTTTACAATTTAATTTGACATTCTACACCTCCAGTTCCCAGAACAGACCCAAAATCCACCGAGTGATATTCCAGGACGTGTGGCCCGTCTAACACCGCCTCCCACAGGGCTTTATCCAAATCTGCAGCTTCTTTCCCTTTAACTCTTTTTCTACCTTTCCCCTGTATTTCCTAATTTCTCTTTTGTCCTTTACTCTTAGTTTCTCTATTCTTTTTATTTCCCAATGCACTCCCCCCTGTTGTGTTGTTTACATCAGAATAAAACCCAGTTTAGAACTGAGAATCACTCCACACATCAACACATCATGGCACACACACAGCTAATTCCTTTACGGTGTGGTCACAGCCCCAACCAGCAAACCAGCGCCGAAGAATGTGAGAAACGCTCACCACATTTGCTGGCATGGAGCGGGAGTCAGCGCGTTGAAGCTGTCCGCAACGCTGCAGGCCACAACACGTCCTGAGTTCGTGAGGCCAGAATTCTTGTATGTGAAGGTGATGAAGAAATCCTCCGCTGATACCATCTTGTTGGTATATAAAAAGGTTTACTGAAACAAGTCCAGTATCTCAGACACCATGGTTTGCCTGTGAGAGGATTCAAAGCCAAAAAGAATCACCCTCCAGAAAAACCTTAACTACCGGCCTATGCAGGGGGCCGTTTACGGAAGCCTAAGACAGAACATATGGCTCATAACCAAAAAAGGAGCACATTCTCTAAACAAAGAAGCACAGCATCCTGCAGCACCTAAACTAAACATGTCAAACCCATGAGGTGGAACATCAGATCCAACATATTTCCCTCCTTCGAGATTACGCAGAGTCTCGAAAATAAAAAAGCAACACATACAAGTGTGACAAAATAACAGTTCCTCCTATATGTGCTTAATACAGCATCATCTAAATACAACAAATTTATGGAGTGCGAGAGCGAAAAACCCGTCAGGCAGCCGTCATACCTGATATTTCCATCAAACAATCTAGACAGGAAAATTCTCCCACGGCCCCTCTGCCTTAGGCGACCACATATAGAACTCCAGCCTAATTAGAAAATGTATGTAGAGGTATACGCTAAGCAAATACACATGGAAACCTCAGAAAATAAAATCAAACAATGTCCAAATTCAGGCTGGTCGACCCATCGTACCTTCCAGTAGCCCTTTGCCTGCCCAGCCTGAATACACCTCGGCACCAAAAAAGAAGAAACATCTGAGGTCCCTGTGTATTTACCCAGTCAGAGAAAATATAATACTCAGAAGAAAACGCCGCAGGCCACAACATGTCCTGAGTTCGTAACACCAGAATTCTTGTATTGAGTAGCGATGATGTGAAGGTGATGAAGAACTCCTCCGCTGATACTATCTTGTTGGCATATAAAAAGGTTCACTGAAACAAGCTCAGTATCTCAGGCACCATGGTTTGCCTGTGAGAGGAGCCAAAAAGAATCACCCTCCAGAATAACCTCTAATGCTGGCTTATATAGGGGGGCTGTTTACATAAAACTAAGACAAAACATATGGTTCATATCATGATTGAAGCCCATTCTCTAGACAAAACGGCACCTCTCCTGCAGCACCTAAACCTTTGACCTGGGGATCCCTCACTAAACATACCAAACCCATGAGGTGGAAACATCAGATCCCACCACTTCACTACGAAAGACAAAAAAAATGTCATATTCCTTGTATACACGCTTGGCCAATAACTCTGAAAGAACACAGAGCTGGAGCCATGACAGTAGACAAAGCTTTAAATATGGATGCTGCTGCAAAGAAACGACAAATTCTTAAACATGGACGCTTGACAAACAAAAAATCTACACAATCGGCACAGTTTCAAGGCGGATTGCAAAGATTATGTCACTAATTCAGCATCGAGCTAAATGTGACGTCACAGTCTTCCCTTATGTTCCAGCGTGAGGTGTTGAATGATGGACGAGACGTGACCTTTTGAGTCACAGTGGCCTCTGACCACCAAAACTAATTGGTTCATCTCAAGCCCAACCTCAGTCTCCACACTCACACACTTGCAGGTGTTTCCACTGAGTGCAAATTTACACATGAGCAGACTTTACCGAGGGACTTTCTCATAGTTCAGAGGGAGATGGGTGATGTATTAACCCAGTTGTCCTGCCACCCCCAAAATGTACACAAACCAAGTGTGGACGGTGTCGAGAAGAATCCGCAAGGAGGTTTATAAGTGACTGGTTTGGATTTTCAGTCAAATGTCTGCATAGGTTTTCCAGATGCTTATGGGTTTTCTGACTTTCACTTTGTTTAAATCTATAAATACTGTAATGTCAGAAACAGGAAGTGATTAACTGAGGAGATAATCAAACTGCGAATGAGACAAAAGTTCAAAATTAAGGTTTTTTTTTCTTCTAATGATGTGTTTTTCTTTAAAGCGACTTGTGCTGTTATGACAGCACGCCCATTCCTCATTTTTATACCATTTTGAGTCCTCATGACTCTCACACTTTACACTACAGCTGAAGTCTGTGAGGGTTGAATGCTTTGGAGGTTGGGATTCAGCCTTTGAATGCAATTCAAGGTTTGTGCCAAGTTTGAAGAAATTCTCTAAAGATGTTCCAGACATACCGCGTTTACAAGAAAACAAGAACATAATGCATCTGGCCACAGCTGTCTCTGGCAGTACAGCATCTCTTATGTTGCTGCTGAAAATGCAAAGCTCTTATGGAGCCATCATAAGCCTCTGTGTTTTCTTAGACACAGACTAGTTTACAGCTGTGCCATCTTCTGGATGTGCTATCTGGTGTCTTGGATTTTTCCTTTATCCTTGCTCTGACTTACATCCCAAATGACGGGCTCTTCACAGACCAGTCTGGAAGGCTGCTTAATGTTCAGGATGTTGTTTTAGACAAGAACTTAAAAAAACATGTGAATGCAACTTATGAAATGTAAAATCATGGTTAATTACACTTCATCTGTACTTTCATTGCAGTATTACTCTTATGTAAGCTTGTGAATGGCTGCACGAATTATGACAGTCTGCCAGTTTAAGGACTTTCAGTTTTTCCTTACAATTTCTGAAGACATTTAGATTGTTTTTTGGGATTTGTTTTGGTTTTAAATTTCCGTAGATCAGTGTAACAAAATTAAATACACCCAATATGACATTTACAGAAGGTTCAATACATGATGGGTATTTTTTCTGTTCACTTAAATTGATAGACAAATCAAAATAATCATTCAAGAAATGAAATGATAGATTAATCTATATGAAAATAATAATTAGTCATTGGGAATTGTTGCTACGAAAACTGCTGGACACTGAAACTAAATTCATTCATTCATTCAACATTAATGAAATCAAATTAAGTTACTAGTGAGTGAGTGCAGCTTAAGTCTTGTAGCTAAGTTTGTCAAAAACGACAACGGATAAAGTTTAACACTCACCTCTGAAGGCAGCACTTCTGTAACAACATCCTCGTCTCCGTTGCCTGACGTCTCAGCAGAGTTCACGACCTGCACCGACACAACTGGTGCAGACTGGCCGGATGTCGTCGCAGTCGATGATGCAGCCGCCGTGTTGGGGACAATTCTCGGCAGAGCTTCTTTGCCCTGAATGGAGGCTGGAACTATTTTTATCTGGAGTGGAGGCGGAGGTGTAGCGGTCACGGACACAGGGTGGCCCGGTACGCTGCTTCCCTCGCGGGGTTTGGCCTGTAAGGGCGGAGGTGCCGGTGCCATCTGCTGGAGCCGAGGTGGAGGCGGCGCGTTTTGCATCTGCTGCAGCGGAGGCGGCTGACGCGAGGCGCCAGAGACCACGAGGGTCGGCTGCAAGGCGCGGACCCCTCCAGGCAGCACAGTCACCACCTGCCCCCCACCCTGCAGCATGTGCTTTGGGATGATGATCTTGGTGATGGTCTGGGCTGCTGGAGGTGCTGCAGGAGCAGAAGCTTTGTTTGCTCCTGTGCGGGAACGTGTGGCCATTTCTGGGACGTCCAGGATGATGTTGGAGGCACAAATGTTGGTGATGGTGTTCTCCTCCGCGTTGCTGTTGGCCGAGCGAACTGCCTGGTGACCAGCAGAGGGAGGCGTTGTCGCAGTCAGGTCAACCACAGGTGGAGGAGGTGAAGGGGCGGTCTCCATTTCCTCAGTGCCAGGCTGGGATCAGGTGAAATACACAAAGAAAAATTAGAATAAAATACATCACTAACTGGTTTTCCTCTAGAAAACAAAATGATGTTACCTGTGAGAGATGGTTCGCTTTGTAGGCTGCAAGGGCTTTCAAGTACTCCCTTTTGGCTGCTTCTGTCTTTCTCTTATACACCTAAAGAACACAAAACAAGCACCACTGTCGTAAATAGAGGCCATTTTATGTTTGCAACAATCATTTTCTCTCCCCCCAAAACTGCTAAACAATAATAAATTGAGCCCCGCTTTAAAAGGGATTTTACAGATTTTCCTTTGTGAGGACATAAACATTAACATGTACCTGTTTCTGTTCCTCAGCCAGGCTGTCCCACATGGAGGCCACGATCTTCGACACCTCCCCAAAAGAGGCATTGGGGTTCTGGCCTTTAATGGCCGCCTGTGTGTCTCTGAAGAACAACGCATATGCAGAAACTGGCTTCTGTGGCTCATTGGGATCTTTCTTCTTTCTTACTTTCTTTGCGCCAACTGCCACACTTGCCGAGGCCAGTGCAGCGGGCTTCCCCCCGCCCCTCCTGGCTGTAGCCGTGGAGACAGACGATGGGGGAGCCGGGTGGGAGGACATCTGGGAGAGGACAAAGGAAGAAGAGAGAGACATGGGGGAGTCCACCAGCACACTCCTCTGAGGAGAGGAAGGGAAAATGAGGAGAGATAGGAGAGTACACATTAGCTGCAGGATCTAAAACACAGCAGTGACTCATACAATTACAGTTTCTGGTTTTGTCTGTATCTCGTACTGTTTGATCGTCAAACTAAATTTTGCATAAAAAAAGGAAACCTGAGTAAACAAAACACAAGTGTTAAAGTGTATTTGCTGAACTAAAATGCATACCAATGACTGCCCTCCCTTCTTGCTGCCCTTGCATCTCAATAAGTTCAGGTCCAGACTTCGAGTAGGACACACCACAACATTAATGTGTGGACTTATTCTTATGTTTGGGATCAGTGTCTTGCTGTATAACCCAGTTGTACTTTAGCTTTAACCCTATTCAGGACTTTCATGCTGTCATACATAGAAGGTCTTTCGGGACCCATTTGACCCCAAGAAGAGCAGAATATTTGTTGGTATTTATTCTAGACTTTTACACTATGTTAAATAACTTTTCTGATAAGTTGACATATTTTTGGTTCCAAATGCATGACAAATGTCCCTCTTTTTATATATAAAAAAAAAAAAATCTTCAAAAATTTGAAAAAACAACACCTGTCACCTAAACCAAATGGCCTGGGGTCAAAAAGACCCCAACAGTCCTGAATAGGGTTAACTCACACACTGATGATCTGACATTCTCCTCCAGGAGTTTTTGTCAGAGAGCAGAATTTACGCATCTTTCAATTATACCCACAACATGATAGTGCCACCTCCATGCTTGACCACAGGCATAATGTTCTTTTTGTGGAATTCTGGTTGTTTGGGTTTACGCCAGATATAACAGAACCCCCAAACAGGTCAACCTTTTGACTTATTAGTCCACAGAACTTTCTCCTAAGAACTCTGGATTTTTTGAGATTAGGTCTTAGATTAGATGAGGACTCCTAAAACAAGACTTTTGGAAACACTGCTGACCCCTGTTTTAGTTTGGTGTCCGTCCATGCAAAGAACCCTCTCGTCTTACTTTTCACCATTATTGTTCTTCCTCTTTAGATGTCTACAAAAAAGCAACCAATGCTCTTCTTCCTGTTTACACCTGCACACGCATGAGCAGTGGCTTTAAGGTGTATTTCCAATTTCTAATTTCCAAAATGAAGCTAAAATGTTCAACTGGATGAAAATTGTTTTTGTTCGGAAATGTGATTTTAAAATGAAAAAGTATGTGTGCACACAGCTATAGTGTGTTACTGCTGCGACCTTTTATCTAAGTTCACGTTTCTTAAAATGGTCTATTTCTGTGATGATTCCATTGCAGGCTGATGGTAATCAGGCCTGCATGTGTGTAGTCCTGCTGGTACTTTTTAAATTAAGTGACTGAAGGGATGTAACTGTAGTTTGCGATCCAAACTACAGTTACATACAAGTAGAAAGAGCGTTTGTGAGCGCTGCATGCAGACACTGATGTTGGGCTCTTCAAATGTTGTTTCTCACCTTGAAGTCGTCCATATCCTCATCCTGTAAAGAACCAGCTGGAGATGGTGTCGCTGACAGCGGCTGCTCAGGCATGTTTTCCCCTCCAAGCCCCAGCGCCAGCTCCGACGGGTTAATAGTGGAGAGCTGACTGCTCCCCAAAAGACCATGACCAATGTCACCGAGCTGAACATCAATGGTCATCGGGGAGGAACTGCTGAAGTGTGAACCACTGGAGTTCCCCATTTCCTGCAGAGGGATTAGAAATTTAAAAAAAAAGACTAGCACACAACTCCTGACTGCACTGATGGACATTTAAACAACCCAAACAGTATTCTGTGTGAGCGTCTACAGGTACACCACTCACCAGTGCAGAAGAGCTCAGCAGGGCTCCACCTCCAGTCTGGCCCATTGCCCCAAGGTTCATCTGCTCCAGGCCTCGAGGGCAAGAGTTCACAAAGGTGGACGCAAAGGAAGGGTCATTGGCCTCCACCACCAGGTTACTCACAAGACTCCGGGAGCCTGAAGGTCTCCCGGAGCCGTCGGAGCCATCAGTCAGCTCGTAGTGAGACACCTCATCATTGATGCTCAGAGCTGGATCCGGATCAAGGGAGATGGGGGGGATCTCGAAGACCTCATCTCCGAGACTGGGGGTGTGAAATGTCTGCTGTAAGTGAAAGAGAGAGAATAACAGGTGAGACCTTCATGAGCAGACACACGTGTGTACATCCCAGAGTGTTGCCCTGACCTGCCATGCAGCTCCACATGACTCACTCACCTCTGCGGACAAAAAGGGGTGGCCCGCTCCGCTGATGGCGAGGTAACTGTCACTGCCTTCTGGAAACTGAAACACACAATTCACCTTTAACTAACTTACATGCAGCTTCGGCTTCTTCAGTCAAATATAAGGTCTTCCAGGAAAATAGTGTCTGAATGTTAGTTTACCTTGTTCTCCTCAGAGTATCCACCGTACGCCTGGGAGTCCAAAAACTCCGAGTCAACATTTTGAGCACAACCATCCGACAGGTCAGAATAAAAATTAAGGTCCATTATGAACTCAGATGCTCCAGCTAAACTATCACACGTGCTGTATTCTTTGATGAACTGTTAAAATGCCCTACCCATTGAGGGCAACTATCCGTATGTGAACTCGAGCTGCTAGCAGCTAGCTTGCTAGCTAGCTAAGCACTGTCGGTTAGCATAACGTCCAAGAGATGATGCTAGACTACGCTTGGGAGAAACAAGACGGCTGGGTAATGTGAGGCTGACAACAGCAGAATGGTGTAAATATAGGCAAAATACTGAGCATTATCTCTCCCGCAGGCAAAAGTTTTATTGAGGCCCAAAACAAACCCATTCATATGCCGGAGAGCTGCTGCCGTTAGCGCCTCCCCGGACCTCCGGCAAGGAGCTGGTGCTGGATTCACGGGCCGTCTGAAAACAAACAATTACTCGAGACCCCACGACATACCCGTGGTGTTTGTGTGCTTCAAATTTTTGCGAGCTGTTTGAGGTCAAAGAGGTGACGTTTAAGAGCCTGCTTGTCGTAACTAAAAAACAAAAACTAGTGTGTAACTTAGATGGAGGTTTGTCCGCTTCACGTGTTGCTTGGCCGGTCAATACAACCAGAGTACTATTAAAATCTCATATTTCCATTTTCTATTGAAGTATAAAACGCCATGACGACCACCGCATGTGTACTGTCGTTTGATTCCGCGTCAAATATTTAAATAAAAACATTTTAAAAATCCCACGAAAAAATACATAAACGAGATCACAAGTCTATTCAATAAATATATATATAAATGCAAGTATTAAATAAATATTTTTTTATTATTACAAATATTTCTTTAATGACTACACTTATTTATTTCAAGGTAACCTTTTTTTTTTTTTTTTTTTATTATTACAAATATTTCTTTAATGACTACACTTATTTATTTCAAGGTAACCTTTCCTTTGTAATTCCGTATTTACTCATTTCACAGGGATATTTATAATTTTCTTTGTGTTTTCTTATTTTAAATAGTGAATAAAACATCATTCCATAACGAGGATCTTCCTTTTCTTTTTCCCCATACATGATAAGATCTAACAGCTCTGATGCACATGAAATATAGTCATTTAAATTCCCTTTACAACCTAATGTAGCCTGTTTTGGAGTCTTGTCACCTTCAAATAACCTGAAGGGTGCTTACAAATATTAATTTATTATGACTGTGTTGTTATATTATTAAGAGGCATTTATTTTTTTGTCCAGATGGCATTTTTCTGAACAGTTTTAAAAGACCTTTCCAGCCAAGTGAAATCAAACACTTGTCCTGCGTATGGTCCATATGAAAAATAATCACAGCTGTTTCTGATTGGACTGGATGGCAAGACTGCATCAGAAATTCATATAACAAAGTAATTATAGTCTTATAACTAGCAAAATCATTTTAGACAGATCAAATTCTTGCACTACTTGGGATTAAGAGTCTGGACATTTTCAGTCAAATAACTGATGGATTATATTTATGTTCTTTTATTAAAATAAAGGCCTACCTTCACTGTGGAAGGGCTCCAAAATCTCATTGGTTGTTTCTGCTCAGACTCGTGGATGTTGTATTGTGGTTTGAGGATGAAAAGTAAACCTGTATTCATCCATTGTTTCTCCATGTTTGCAGTCAATAGTAGTAGAGCCTGTATACATACCATATATGTTCCTCATTCACAACCTCCACGAATCTATTGGAAGGTTCTTAATGTTCTCCACTGCATCAGTTTCATTATTTCCCCACATATCCAGAAACCAAATGGTCCACTTGAGCTGAATATTAATTCGTTAATTAGTTTTTATAAGCTCTGTTAATATTTTTCTGGTACCACCATTTTTAAATGTGAATATCTGCTCACTCAGGTTTCTGCAATGGTATAAACAGTTTGTTCCACGAGGACAGTGGATCTTAAAGACCTATCAGTCTGACTTACCTCCATCAAGATTTATGGAACCGCATTATTCCACTTCTAACATAGATTTGTTAATAATCAGTTCTATCAAATCTCAGTCCTTTATGGAACTTTTCCTTCCAGAGTTCTCACACCACCTTGCTGTTCCAGTCCCAGTCTTGGTCTATTCTTTGTAAAAGTTGTCCCTAATGATGGAGCTACTAAAGTCCTGCTCAACAGTGTGTTACTTTTTCATTTTAACTTAATTTAGTGACATCTCAATATGTGTATTCTAAGCTCGTGTGCATCATTACTTTTACACATTTAACCTTTGAGAAGTACTCTGAATACAGTTTAATAACTAATGCATGTCCGCTATCATGTTTCAGAAAAGAATAAAGATGAACTCGATAGTGGACCGCTGGACATGCTCTCACATCTTTCTGAACAACTGGATGATGTAGAGTGCCATAGGAGTCAGTGGTTCATACAAATGGGAGTAATTTGAGCTCTTGTGCGTTTTCATCCGCTGTAATTAGGACACAAATATTAAACAGTTCAGAAATGGACAATCAATCTTGTGTACAAACAGAAAACCTTATTGCTTCTGCTCTGTGAAAATCACAATAATACACACAAACTTGCTTTCACTGTAGATTGCTGTTATTCATATCACAGATACAGTCAGATCATAAAACAAGAATAGTAACTCATTGCCGTCATCTTTGCACCATAGTACACAACTGACCAGCTCTACATTGTACAATACACCCATCCTCCTAGCACTGCTTCAGTAACTACTACGTCACTTTCCCTCTCCCTCCCTCTCAACCCCAACCCCTCCCATAGAGTGAAAACACTAACAGTACGTCCACACACTGGATCCCCTTTTAATTCACAGACTCGCCTGGACAAAAGATATGACCGAACGAGATCGGGCGGGGGATTGTGGGATCTGGCTCTGCTCAGTACACGTCCAGTTTCATGTAGCGCTAGAAGACCAGCTTTGAGGTTCTTAGATAAGAAAAGTGTATCTGTACAGCAGGGGTCCCCTTTTGGTCACGGTTGGGAATGTGATGGGAATTCTTAGGTTTGGAGGAGGAGGAGGAGAATGACGAGTCGACAAAGTAAGAAAGCTCAGCTTTTTGCCATTTTGTCAGAGGTTAGAGAGGAAGATCGAGAGAGAAAGATGGAACACAATTGTGGTGATGGAAAGAATAAACCTGATGGGTGCAAACCTGCTTCTTACATGGAAAAAAAAACCCTATATAAAATAAATGACTAAAAGTAGCAACAACAAAAGAAAAAAAACACACACATTCATTCATAATTTGATACATAATGGTAAAAATAAATGATGAGGAATAACATGATTTACGTTTGAGAAGGGGACTAAGTCAGATGTGTCTGAGGAGGAAGGTTCAGTCAATCCTCTGAGCTTGATGAGGAGTCGGAGTCCTTCTGTGCTATGATGACATCGTCCAATAGCGCTTCTTGATCCGAGCTGTCATAGTCACCTTGGGAAAGGCTGTCTCCGCCCTCCATTTTAACGTCAAAGTCCGGACTGGTGAGGAAGTGATGGGAGGTCTCCAGGTCCTCCTCATCCATCATGTAGGCTCCGTCTGACACCAGAGTCTCCTCTTCTACTCCGTCCAGGTTGGGGTCTTCGTGGGTGGGCTCTGGTGTGTGATGATGATGGTGGTGGTGGTGGTGATGATGGCGACGTCGGCTTTTCTTCGGGATCTCCGAGTGTTCGGTCAGCAGTCGGTGGAAGAGAGTCTCGGGCAGAAAGCCCTGAGACAAAAACAAATAAGCGATGTTATTATTGTAATCATTACCCGTAGTAGTTATAAAATTATGATCAAGTTCAACTGCTTTAGAGTGATAAACTAAGCTGCGTAGTGTCGTCAGAAGGTGGCGCTATAGGCTATGTTGCACTATGATGAGTAGAAGAAGTTGACAACAAAACCACTTGTTTGACAACCAGTCAAGCCATAAGGAAGAAGAAGGAAAAAAGGAACCGTTTTCAGCTCGGCAACTTGGAATTATTGTTTCATGTCAGCTAGTGTCAGACATGTTTCATGCCGTCCGGAGGTGAAGACAACAAAGAAACTGCTAATAGCTGATCAGACATGTCAGTTATATGTTCGCTATGCGCATTAAATCTTTTAAAAGTAGCAAAAACCACTCACTAAGCGTACAAACAGGTGCAATTTGCGCTTAGTTTTTCAAATTGTACTGTTTCCATTCACTTTTTCAAACGCAAGTCTTCAACATACCAAGAAAAGTGTTACAGAAACACAGCTTGTGTCTCTTTTTTTTCCCTTTTAAAGACTAAAATATGTTCATAGTCACAGCTACCAAGGTGGCATCTTGTGGAAACATGGTATACTACACGTCTTATAGCCATTTGGGCCTAATCAAAGACATGAAATACAATTCAGACCGACTTCTCCTGAATGTATCAACATAGAAAACAATTTCAAGGCAAAGTCACATTGCTAAAGATGTGATACTGAAACATTTTGAATACATACAGAATTCCGGACTGTTTCGGACCACTCTGGTGCTACAGCGTTGTCAGGATTCTCCTCCAGATATTCCCTCAGGTCTTGCAGCATTGGACAGAAAGCGGCTCCAACCTACAGAGAAACGTTTGTTATCAAGAGACAGTCCGCAGCCACCATGTCTAAGCTGGAGTTGTGTTTAATTAGGTCTCACCTTCTTTCCTGTCCTCATGTTAATGAGTTTGACCTTTTCGCTGCCTGTGGGGATTTTATCTGCCCTCCTCCTCCTCTTCCTTTTGCTCCTGTTCACAAGTAGCTGAAGAAACAAGACAAGTGATGAGATAAGGCGAAAACTTAACAAAGTCATTGTTTCACGATCAACCTAAAACCAAGCTTGGACTACAAATCAGGGCATTTTGAAGGGACACTTGATGTCCTGTTGGCCCTTTTGTATAGGAGTCGTGCATTCACCTCCAGCATGTCTCCCTCCACCTCATAATCAGGGTTCTCTTTCAGCCATGTGGGAGGGTCCCTGCGTCGAGGAGTACGCTCTGACGGATCATGGAGTCCATCCAGGTCTGACAGCTGAATAAGGAGAGGGGCAGACCGAAAAAAAAGTTGGCAAACGAAATCCAATGCAATGATGATCTATCATAGTTGTGGAGGATCAGATGTAAACCTGACACATGTACCTCTTGGTCCTTGCGCTTCTTGCGGCTGCTCTCTCCTCCTGACCCGTTGGGCATCAAGGCCTGCTTCGAGAAAGTCAGCTTCAGGCCCTCCTCCTGGCAGGGTGACAGACAGAAAGATGTCTTATTTATCCATCAAGTGTATATCGCAGTTGTAAATTATATTTTATTTCAAGTACTGAATGAAATAAGTTTGATAAACCAGGCTTTGCAAGCTCTCAGTCATACAGGCAAAC